GTGTTTGTTTCTACGTATTAGGTAGAGCTGCTTTGTCTCCTGGAATTGGTAGAGTCCCTTGTGTAATGGATGCCCTATAAGTCCCAGTGGCTCAACCTCCCCAGTTATCTGAGCTGGGCACTCTAGGTTCATGCCTGTGTGGACTGTGTGCACTGTCCTGTTGTAGTTAAGCCTTGATATCTGTGGGTGTCACTAAGAGAAATTGACTCCCAGGCCAATTGGCTGTGAGGACCTGCTGCATCTACAGTGGAAGATCTTCTGTGAAGGACACACCTGTATGGAGCAGGACTTGTTTCAGAGGGGCTTTGGTACTCTATGTGTCTGTCCCATGAGTGTATTGTTCATGCACATGGTAGAGGTAGAAGCTGGTATCATCTGAAGCTGTCCATCAAGTGCAGTGGCTCTAGGGCCTCTTCAGAGGTGCAAAGTCAGCCACCGCCTTTGCTCTGTCTGGCACCAGCCAGAATAAGCTCCAGAGCATCTGCAGATGGCTGCTATTGTTTTGGATTTAGATATGTTCAGGAGAAGCTAAGCTGTGAACCTTGGCCAGCTGCTGCTAGTGTCAGCCTGTGGCAACTTACCAAGAGGTATGGGGCACACTGAGTACAGCTGCTGCTTATTTGAGAGATTTTAGGAAAGCCTAAATCCTGAGCCAGAATAGACCATTTGTATGGAAAAGACACTGCAAACAACTTGGGTATGGCTGCAAATTGGGTGGGGAAGAAGCTCATGGAATCACCAGGTTGGGACAAATAGTGTGGGCCAGGTAGATGGACTCTCAGATATAGTACCTGCCAGTCAATTCTATGAGGGAAATTCCCAGCACTTTAACGGGGAGAAAGCTGCCCCTGAGTTCTTGTGCTGATGCCACACAATTTAGTTCATCCCCTTATGTCCCTGGACTCTTCCAAGCTGCTGCCACAGTGCTGGAGCTCAGAGGAAATGAGTCCAAGTAAGTCCATGTGCAAGTCCTTTAAGAGAAACTGACTGGTACTCCTGCAGCCTCTGTGTCACTCCGCCACAATCCGTGCTGGCTTTTACAGCCCAGAGATATGAGATGCCTCTTCCTGGCTCTGAGATTCTGGGATAGGGGTCTGGTATGAAGCTGAGGCCCCTTGTTCTTCATGGGAAGCCTCCTCGGCCAAGATATCTCTTCTGATTTAAAACACACATATGTGGGTGTCAGACCACCTGTTCCATGGCTCTGCTCCCCCTGCCCAGTATGTATGTGTTTTCTTCTTTAACTCTCTAGTTTTAACACTTCCATTCAGTAAGATTTGTGGTGTTTCTGAATGATAGTTGTTCTGTATTTTAGTTGTAATTTTGATATGATTGTGGGAGGATGCAAGTAACACCATTTACCTTCATTGCCATCTTGGTTCCTCAATTGAAATGATCTAGCAAACGTTCTTAAAATCACTTTTGAGAATTGATGGGAATATCTCTCTTTCATGACAGCAACTCAGTTTTTCAAACATAAGTCTCAAATGGTGAGGCATTTAAAAATGTACAAAGTGCATGTAAAATTGTAAAAAAAAGGTCAGATGTCTCTAATCAGGAATAATAAAAGGGCTTCAGGATTATGTTCCCAACCACAGACACAGACGTATTTCAGGCTGATTATGTAATTTATAACATCAAATAAACAAGCTTCAGGTAAGCACTATTTTTTACTATAAAAATAACTTATCTAAAGCCAATATGAATCGATTCTGGCTTGAGGAAATGTGTATGCAATATACAGTACTAGGATGTTAATTGAATTAGTATCTGACCTTTATATGTACATCAAATAAGCAAAAATCATTTTACCTTTATTATCTCTTTGGAATTTTTTGATGGTTGGTCCATTTTCCTGATCAACAATAACTTCCTCTCTATTATTCGACATCATAACTGTAAATAGAGATATAACTGAGTGATTTTTTTGCAAATCACTCAAAAGAAAGGCAAAAAAGCATTATATAAATGGCTATTTTATTTCAGTAATAACTAACATTAATTGTATGTACTTCTTTTAAAACAATAAAAATTTGTGTTGATCTGATAATATAATTTACAAATCAATTAGCTGCTTAATTATGTGACTTTTAAAAATAAAATTAATATATTAGATATATAACTGCCAACATAAATCCTTTTTTAAAAATATATTTTTATTGATTTCAGAGAGGAAGGAAGAGGGAGTGTGAGAGGTAGAAACATTAATGATGAGAGAGAATCATTGATTGGCTGCCTCCTGCATGCCCCTACTGGGGATCAAGCCCACAACCTGGGCATGTGCCCTTAACCAGAATTGAACCCAGGACCCTTCAATCCACAGGCCGGCCGACTCTGTATCCACTGAGCCAAGCCAGCTAGGGCCAACATAAATAATTTAAAATATTTCTTTTTTTAAATGTGTATGAAAATTAGCTATTTACCTCTGTAATTACTATTTCCCAAAATGCTTCTGAATAGAATTTACCACTTAAGTTCATGAATTAATATAAGTATGCATTATGTCACTCTATAGAGTCTTGCACATATATGCAGTAAAATTAATAGATAAAATAGAGCTTTCTGTTAATTATTATGTGTTTCTGCACAAAATTTTATATTTAAAGAGGGAAATCATGCCAAATTTCATAGGTTATCATTTAATTTTCTTTAATTATATTTTGTTAAAACATTACATAGTTCTATAAGTAATATATGGTCACTTTAAAATAAAAATCCTCAAACCTTCTTTTTCATGTATAGACAACTTCTCTATTCTGCTTGGATGATTTGGAATGTGATTAAAAGACTACTGCCAAAGAAATTAGAAATGTTTTATGTTGTCAGAATTTTTTAAGACTATTATATTACTTTGGAAATACTTGATTTTACTTCTAAGTGTAAGATATAATTCTTTTATGATACATCCATCACAGAATACATTTCCCTATGTGCTCTGCTTTTAGCCAGAACTCCATAAATAATTATTTACACACACACACACACACACACACACATAAATAAATAAATATCTCCCTTTCCTCTCTTCTTAGTTACTCATTAAAACAAAGAGTATATCCATAGAAGAAAATATGACTTGTTTTTTTGATTCATCTGTGGTTATCCATCTGAATCTGATTGTCTTACATAGACTCCCTCCTACCAGTTGCACACAATGTCATAACTAACGGTCTGGTTCCACAAAATAGTAAAGCTAGGAGATCGCTGTCAACTCTTCCAGGAATTAAACTTACTCCCTTAGGGGCAATAGCCCCAAGTTCTAGCTTAGTGGTTCTTAACTCTGACTGCACGTTAAAATCTTCTAAGGTGATACTGAAAAGCAAAACAAAACACTGCGTCCAGGCTCTATTCCAGCCCAGGTAAATCAAACTCTTAACATGTGGCCTGGGTCTTCAGATTTGTAAGTGCTCCAAGGGTGGTTATAATGAGGATCTAGATTTGAGACCCACTGTGCTCACTGTAAAGCTAAAAAAGCTATAAACAACATGTAATGTTGATAGGCTACGCAAGACTTGGATAGATTTCCACAAGAGAGAAATCATATTCATTCTTCCCCAGCACAAAATCAGAACCTAACACCTTCCCTAATCCCTCAGTTCCTCTCCTCCCCACCTCACCCCATCCCTGGGGGAAAAAAGCATTATTTTGGAAAGGCTTGAAGAAATCATTATTAGGAAATCTAAAAATTTAGAGTTCAAATAAAAAATGCCCCTACAGTAAAACTAAAAGAAGCTCAGAATTAATTTTTCTCTGAAGGAAATAGATACTTAGGAAATTGGATTCTGTAGGTACAGAAGATTAACAAAGATTTTACCTAGCTTATAATTGTATACTAAATGAGAATTTGTTACAATTGAATGAATGCACTTAGTAATGTCTGTATACCCCAGTAAGATCAGACAGAAGGAGATGATAAACAAGGTAAAGGCACACATTAAAAAAATAGTGTTTATTCCTCACTTTTCCTTATCACTTTAAAATTCTGTTTTTCCACATATTATTTCATTTGACCTCACAAAAATCCACTCTATTAGGCAGGACAGTAATTGTTTTCATATTAGATAAAGAAAGTGGTGGTGGTTAAGTGACATACTCAAGATTTCCTACCTATTTAGTGCCAGAACTACAGATAGATTGAAGTCTTTAATATGCCACATCACCAACAGTAACAGTATTCTGAAATTGTGTCTATGGTGTAAGACATCTAAGACAATTAAAAAATTGTAG